CACACACACACACACACACACACACACAACTTGCTACTCTGTTTAATACACAAAGATGCGAGACTACATAAGATACATTTAGCACAGGTAAATTACAACCCTAACAATCTAGACAATTCACATAACCATATGAATATTACATACAAATACTTTGATATTTAAAGGAGCACAATAAAAAGAAAATAATAATAATGACATAGGACATTTTTTTAAACTTTTTTTTTGGTACTAAGGATCGAACTCAGGACCTTGTGCTTGTGAAGCAGGTATGGTAACACTGAGCTAAATCTCCAGTCCTAAAAACATTTTTTTCACTGATCTCTCATATCCCTTTCCCCTCTAACCACATCTGATTCTTTTCCCACAGACCTCCAAGGCACAGCATTTCAGTGTTCGCCCTGCAAGGCAAGCTCTTTTCCCAGCTCCACACCTGACTGGTCCTTCCCAGTCCCCAAGTCTCTTTTACAAAATGTCACTTTCTCAACAAAACCTTCTCTGAAGTACCACTGCCAAACAGGTTTCCCTCCATTATCATCCATCACACACTTTATTTTCTATTATAGTACTTACCATTTAATAACTATGTATTTATGTGAACTATTATTTAATAATTTGTCCTGCTTGACCACAAGCTTCTAGAAGAAAGTGGCAGTAATTTTAATCCCCATTTTACCGCACGTACTTGGCTTACTGTAAGTGACCAAAAGACTTAAGAGGGCCAGGGATTTAGCTCAGGGGTGCTACTGCCTGCCTTACAAGCACAAGGTCCTGAGTTCAATCCCCCATATCTAAATAAATAAATACATACACGAATAATTTTTAAAAACTTACGAATAAAAGAGTATCACAGCTATTTGGGAAGCTGAGTCAGGGAGGATCATTTGAACCAACAAATTCAAGAACAGCCAGGGCAACACAGTATGACCCCATCTCCCAAAAATAAAGAATGAAAAGCTTACAGATAGAAAGCAGATTAGTGGATGCCTGGGCTGCAGACAGGAAAGAAGACTGAGTACAAAAAGATGTGAAGGGTCTTTTTGAAGTGCTGGAAATGTTCTAAAACCACATTAGGGGGGGGAAGAGGATGAAAACAGAATTTAAGATGCACTATGTACATGTACCAATTCTCCATGAGGAAATGAATCATTATGTACTGCAAACACATAGTAATAATTAACGATTTTAAAATTTGAAAAACCACTATAATGATGGCTGCACAGCTATACATTGAACTGTGATTTCAAGAGGTCTATTTTACAGCATATAAATTATACAGTTTATTAATAAACCTTTTAAAAGAAAGGTTGAAAGATGTGAATATATAAAATTTTAATTTTTGTGTAAAATAAATCATAATCAAAATTGAAAAGCAAACACTAACTAGTATAAAGTATTTGTAACCTATATGGCAAAAATGGGCTTACTATTCTTAATAGTAAGCCATTACAAACTTAAATTATATATAAAAAACCATACATATACACATATAAGTATGTACTCAATGGAAAAATTCACAAGTATATTTAACAAAGAAGTCTCTTAAAATATAAGAAAAAATACTAAAGTTAGAAAAAATATAAATTAAGATAATTTACATTAAATTATACTTAATTATTGACTATCAAATGTGCAAAAAAAGAATATTCCATAGAAGTAATTTGCATTATTGGTGAGAGCAAAATTAAGTGTTCTGATAGTGTATAATTAGGAATATAAAATATCACTACCTGACTTAAGGCCAATTGGGCATGATTTCACATTCAGAAGCTGAATATATATGTATCTTTTCATCCATTTATTCTACTTCTAAGAGTCTACCATAAAGAAGTAATTAAACATATACAGAGTTATGACT